CTCTGTGCTTGGCTACTCCTAGGGTGAAGTTTCTGGAAGGCTTCCAGTAGTGACCAGCTTCATAATCTCTCAGTGACCCCAACCCCCAAATGGAGAGTGAGGTGAAGACATGACCCCCTCCCCACCAACCCCCAGGGGTCAGGCTGGAGGACCATCAAGGGGTCCAGGCCAGGGAGAGGGCGGAACTGGGTCGCTTTGCCTGCAGCCCAGTTCAGAGCAGATGTCAATCAAACCTGTGGAGAGAATGAACCGGAAGTGCAATGGGAAGACCCTGACAAGGCAGACCGACCATCCCACTGGGAGGGAGGGAGGGAGGGGGAGTGGAGAGCAGGAAGCAGGGCTACGAACCATCTCTTTATTTACAGCTTGGGAGATCACATGCAGCGTGACCTTGTGGGACTACAAGGCATGGCACCTCTGGGTGCCCACACCTTAAAGACACCTCCCCTCCCCTTGAAACTTCCTAAAAGTCAGAGCACCCTAGGGCCAAGAGCGGCAGGCAGGCCTGGTGTGCCAGTGTAAATATACCAGTGGTTGCCAGCCCAGGGGGCGGGGCCTCTGAGCCTGCAAATGTGTCATCCAGTGGAAGGGGCCCAGAAACGACCTCCCATTGGCCAACACGTGTCTGAACACAACCGTCCCGAACCACCCAAACGTCCTCCCCGGCAGGCATTTCCGTTTTCCCCTGTGACCCATGACCTCAAGGCTTTCTCATCCTGAGAATGATCTGGAGAATGAACTGGCCCGGGGCCAGGTGGCTGGGTCTACTCCTGGTATTTGTGAGTTAGCAGTGTGGAGTGGGCCCCCAGATTCTGTCATTCTACCAGGCCCCCAGATAATGCTCCAGGTCCTGGAGACGGTGAGAGGAGTGAGGACCAACTCTGGGTCCTGGGCTGGGTGACCTCTTGTTTTTGCACTCCAAAAGGCACTTCCTGTCACCTAGACGCAGATGTTACGCGGCCACCCCTGCCCCTTCCTCCCTAGCACACCTGGGGGTGTGAATGTCGAGAGGTGCAGAGATGGCCCCAGTCCAGCCCCAGAAGTTCCCAAGGAGGAGCCTCTCCCCTTCTTTCCCAGCACTCCACTACCTGGCTGACGTTTCCCATGCTTTCCTGTTGCTGGAGAACAGGACTGGCTGGCGAGAACACGGCTTAGCGAAGACCCATGTGTAGCATCTTGGTGCTTTTTCTGATGACCCTCATGTCATCAGAGCCTTGGTCAGTGCCCAGCAGCTGCGGGGTCGGCTCTTGGCATCGCCAGAGCACAGCAAGGCAGTGGTGGTAGGCTTTGTGGGGCTCAGGGGAGGGCAGGCCTCAGCAGCTCTGGCCTTCCTCTTGGGCCCCTGCCCAGCTTCCTGTCCCCTGGGGAACATCTTCACACTCATGACTTTCTCCTTCAGCACCCGGGATCTGAACTATGTTATCTAATGAATGCTATCCAGGGCTGCATCTAGGAGACTCTCCCACCCAGCCCACCACAGGACCCGGGCCACCTGTCCCAAGGGAGCATCTCCCAGCCCAGGGTTCTACAGAGCACCCTTTGCAGCCTTCTTGGTGACATGAAAATACCTTTGAGCATGTGATGGATCTTTGCAGGAGAGCAGAAGAGCTGCTAAATAAATCTTCTAAATAATCAACTAGGTAATACTGGGTCTCAGTGTACTGTGTGCCCAGCATCTTAAAGGATCGTGTACTTACTGGTCCTGACATCTCTAAGAAGGAAGAGCTGTTGGCTGGACACCTGTGGCTCACGCCTATAATCCTCATGACTCAGGAGGCTGAGATCTAGAGGATCCAGATTCAAAGCCAGCTTGGGCAGAAAAGCCCCAGAAACACATATCCAATGAACCAACAAAAAGCTGAAAGTGGAACTGTGGTTCAAGTGGTAGAGCACCAGTCTTAAGGTGAAAAGCCAAGCAAGAGTGTGAGGCCCAGAGTTCAAGCCTTAGTGCCAGCGTGCACACATGCGCGCACGCATGCACACACACACACACACACACACTTTCAATAACTTTCCAAAGGGCAGCAAGGGGTGAGAGTTGGAATAGGCTGTTTGATCACTTCACAGTTTTGCTCTATGCCTGGGCGTTGCCCCTTGGCATTTTGTTCAAGGCTGGCATGGGACTGCTTGAGCCACAGCTCTACTTCCAGCTTTTGAATCATTAGCTGGAGGATCTCACAGACATTTCTGCCTGGGCTGGCTTCAAACCATAATCCTCAGATCTCAGCCTCCTAAGTAGCTAGGAGATAGGCATGAGCCACTGGCACCCAGCACCCCCCCCCGTTTATGGGCACACATTGGTGCCCATAACATTCATTTTGATGGTGTCCACAGATGCTTCAAGCGCCAGCCGACTGGAGTCACGTGACACGGTGTGGTCTATAAAGCCTAGGACATTTATTTGACCTTTTATGGGAAAAGTGTGCAGAAGCTGGAGTGGTTTATCAGCAAAAGAAATTTAAGATAGACCTAAGAAAGAACTTCCTGGCAGAGGAATGGATACAATATTTGGAGGGGGAGTGAATTCTCGACTCTGGAGTTAAAAGGAGACCCCTACTACCCCCACCCCCACACACACAGGTAAAATGGACGCAGCAAAGAACTGGGTCTGGAATTCCCACAGTCCTCTACGCCTTCCGGCTTTGTCTGGATTGTTTCCCGTAATTGATGTCCCAGGACCACAGATATCATGGCCTCCAGCCACAGCAATGCTGTGAATCACCGACAGCACATGGCTCCTCTCTCTCTGACACAAAAACCAAGGTCAGGCTCCCCTTCCAAGCAGCCGGCTCTGACCTCTCCACCTCCCCCACCCTTGCTCTGCCCCCAGACTCCCATGCCTGCTATCAAACTTGAGCAGGGAGGGAAGAACAAGCATATTTGATTTCTTCTAGATCTGCCTGTTCTCCTCGGTGTCTGACCCTTGGTCCTGACTGATCTAAAGCAGTAAACAGCCCTGGCATCCCACGGGCCTGGCTGTGGGAGAGAGGGGGGTGAGAGACCTGGATGAACCCAGGTTTCCTGGTCCAGACAGCTGGCCAAGAGGGAGAAGCAAGGTGGGGTTGTAGCTCTCCCAGGTGGCCCTCGGATCTGCTGGGATGGAGACAGACATTCTGGGTGGGCTTCTCGGGTCTGGCTTAGGTGCCCCCCCCACTTCCCAGTTTGTGTGTGGGGGAGAGCTCTGCTGAAACATGGAATGGAATCTAGGATGGCCCCTGAGGGGGCTGCGAATCACCGAAGTGGTGTGCAAAGTGTGTGTGTGTGTGTGGGTGCATCTCCATGCTTGCATCAGACTGTGGGGGTCAAAGGCCTCAGGACAGGACAAGGGGGAGTGTGGATCCCAGAGCTGGAGCAGCAGAGCCACGAGTCAGAAAGAACATTACTGTTTCCCAATCACGTCATGTCTCAGAATACTAACTGCCAGAGAGCAGAGACGCATCGGCCCCCACAGCACTCCTTAAGTGGTGTAAGTGGTGCTTAATGTAATGAATTTGAGGAGAAATGTCCTGGGGTGGAACCCTGGGTCTTGGGTGTGCCACACAAGTGCTTGCTTTGTGTTTAAAGATGACACATTTGACAGCTGCTGCGGCTCAGGCCTGTCATCCTCGCTACTCTGGAGACTGAGATCTAAGGATCGTAGTTCAGAGCCAGCCTAGGCAGGAAAGTCTTTGAACTCTTACCTCCAATGAATCACCCCCAAAAAGCCAGAGTGGAGCTGTGTGTGGCACAAGTGGCAGAGCACTAGCCTTGAGCACAAAAGCTCAGGGACAAACACCCGGGGCCCCGAGTTCAGGGCTCATCACACACACACACAAATACACTTATGTCCACAGAAGACTGAGAGAGCTCACACTATTCTAGCCACAGCAAAAGGAATGACGAGGGAGTGTGTCTCTGTTGCTGAAAGCTACAGGAAAACCTGGCATCAGTTCTTAGCTGTGGAGAGGCAGAATGAGGGATGGGGGGCTTGGTGGTCCATAGCCCCCCACCCCACAGCCAGGTTCCGATCTGCCCCCAGCACCCAGCCAAGGTTGCTTCTGCTTTTCAGGTCCCAAGTGACTCAACTTCATTCAGGGGACCCCAGACAATCAGGGGACTCAAGTGTGTCTCCACGTTCTGCCCTGCATCAGGGCCACCGTGCCCACTTGAAAAGGCCACCGGAGCCGGGCGCTGGTGGCTCACGCCTGTAATCCTAGCTACTCAGGAGGCTGAGATCTGAAGATCTCGGTTCAAAGCCAGCCTGGGCAGGAGAGACCCTGAGACTCCTGTCTCCAATAAACCACCAGAAAACCGGAAGTGGCGCTGTAGCTCAAGTGGTAGAGCGCTCGCCTTGAGCTGAAGAGCTGAGGGACAGCGCCCAGG